TACTTTCATACTTTGAATAGCCATTAGTATTTTTACGTACTCAACTCTATTTTCTTGAGTGTCATCCCCATAAGACAAGAGAGTTCTATTTATTAATTGGACTTGGCAAGGGGAGTCATTTCCTTCTGAAAATACAAAAAAAAAAAAAAAAAAAACTCACTGCTGTCAAGTCGATTCCGACTCATAGCCACCCTATGAGAAGGGTTGAAGTAGAACAGCACAGAGTAGAACTGCCCCATAGGGTTTCCAAGGAGTGGCTGGTGGATTTGAACTGCCGACCTTTTGGTTAGCAGCCGTAACTCTTAACCACTTAGCCACCAGGGCTCCGAAAATACAAGGATTATTAAAATATTTACATTTATCTATATTTTCTTTTAGTACTTGCAAGTTCCTTTGTTCCTTCATCCCTTCCTTTCTTTTCATTTTTCTTTTACTTTATTTCCACCTTCCTTCTCTTCTTCCCCCCATCCCTTCCTTCCTTCAAGACTTAATCTTTTTAGAATTCATTTTGGTGTTTTTTTTTTTTTTGTCCCATATTGTTAGCCAGTTGTCCTAATACTAGTTACTGAATAATCTATCTTTTAACCACTTTCAGTTTATAGCAAATTGAAAACTAAATTGAATAATATGTGAATACATTTACTGGTGCTAAACCAGTTGCCTTTGAGCTGATTCCAACTTATGGCAACCTCAAGTGCGCAGAACAGAACTGCACTCCACAGGGTTTTCAAAGATGTGACCTTTTAGATCACCAGGCCTTTTGCCTGAGGCATCTCTGGGTGGATGTGAACCACCAACTTTTTGGTTAGTAGCTGAGCACTTAACCGTTTAAGCACCTCTCACCCCCGCAAAAAAAAAAAAAAAAAAAAAAAAAAAAAAACATGCCGTCAAGTCAATTCCGACTCATAGCAACCCTATAGGACAGAGTAGAACTGTCCCATAGTTTCCAAGGCTGCAAATCGTTATGGAAGCAGACTGCCACATCTTTCTACCGTGGAGCCACTGGGTGAGTACAGCCAACCTTTTGGTTAGCAGATGAGTGCTTAATCACTGTGTCACCAGGGCTCCTCTTTGAGCCACTCCATAATTGGTACTAGGTAGTGTATTTCTTCACTGAGCCTTTCTCCAGACTCTGGGTTATCCTAGGCTTCACAAGTTAATCACAGCCCAGTAAAAACTGGACAATCAAATCAGCCAATGTGGCAACAGAAAGGGCTACTTCGTGATGAGCACTTACTGTATTGCTTTGCATGAGAATCAATTCAAGAAAATTAAAGGTTTTTAAGTCACCTTATTCCCTCCTTCAAAATGAAAATAGTTTTTGAACTCCATAGATAAATTGCACATAAATCGCATCGTACTGCTTTCTCTTAATCACTCGGCAATTCACAGGCTTCTGCCAACTGGAAAAACTTCTTGGCTTTGGGACCATGCTTCTTTGTGCTGGGTGCTAGCTTCCCTATTTCATTGGCTAGCAGAGTGCCAATGAGATAATTGTCACTGATGTTTATAGTGACCACAGTGGTAACATCTGGACATATTTGGGAAGTACTAACATGGGGGCACCTTACAATCATATAGTTGTGGAACACTTCAGAGTTTGCTAATTACATTCACATGTAAAATTTTATCTCCTCCTCAAAATAAATTCAAATGAAGTATTATTAACTTTATTTTAAGGATAAGGAAAACTGAAATTCAGAGGAATTACATGTCAAGGTAGCATAGACACAGGGCTAGATTTAATTTATTCCATTGGAACTTTTTGAGAGCCCTGGTGGCCTAGTAGTTAAGAGCTCGGCTGCTAACCAAAAGGTCGGCAGTTTGAATCCACCAGCCACTCCTTGGAAACCCTATGGGGCAGTTCTACTCCATCCTATACGGTAGCTATGAATCGGAATCAACTCCATGGCACCTAACAGCAACAACAAATTGCGTGGGGCTCTATGGACCCCAACCTAGGCCTCTCTCTCCTGAGGTGGTACGATCTTCTCTCAGCAACCTGGCGCAGCTTCCTGACTGCCTTATGTCACTCTGTACTTAACCTTAGGCAGCAACTAATGTCCCGGAAACACAGCCCTCCAGTGGACTCTGCACCTGAGGCAGGGGTGTGGTGCTGCCTCTCCTAAGAGGCAAACCTCTCTGCCAGTCACCAAGGAACTGGGGTCCCTGCTGGACCCACAACTGAAAAGGGCCTCTTTTGGCATGTGAGGTGGTTGCTTGGGAAGCTCTCCCCCAACTCCCATTCCTTTCTTTTCCTCCCCCTCCCAATTATTCTGCTTTGTATACAGTGAAAGAGAGGTTTTCGATTTGATCTCAGGTCCAAATAAGAAGCCAGGCAGGCAACATGAAATCTATAGGCCTTGATCTACTTTGTCCTACTTTATTCTGAACCAAACCTTTCACTAGTACTTCAGTAGCCATTCATAGTAAAACAATGTCTAAATTCAATATAAGATTTGTTGCTTCACGAAGTAGAAAGAAGCAAAAACATTGTTCAAACAGTAGCAATTTATAAGGTAAGAACAAGGTGGAAATAATGCCACATTTATTGAAAAAAGGAAAAACTGTAAATCAAATTGTATTTTGAAAAGACAAGTGACATTTAGTTCCAACTCTGTACTGACTCTGCAAAGAGATGATAAATCAGAAGCAAGGCATGCAATCGTGCTTGTCTATGTCCTAGGAAAAGTGAATTTTAAAATTTTTGTTAAGAAAAATTGTTTAAAGCTGTATGTCTTGCAAATGACACAAAAGACTACACAACATCAACTTAAAGTTTATCTTTAATTTAAATGTGCAGGCATCTTCCTCATATTCTTATCTAATAGTAGCCTTGTTTTATCATCTTTAGATTTATTATGCCTCTGAAGTACTCATAATAAGAAATGGATCATATGATACAGGTGAAAAAAGAGTGGCTGTTTTCAACACTCTGGAAATATTAATGTTGTTTTTAGTATTTTCAATAGAACTAAACTGGAATGTCTGAATTACCAAATCAGATGGTATTCCAATCAGATGTGTCATTAGTAACCATGCTCTAAGGAGGGATCTTATGGATAATGCCATCAATGTGGACCCAGTATACTATCTGCAATACTTTGCCCTCAGGCCCTTAAACCCAAGAGAAGTAACAAGAGATTTTTCTTTTATACTGTACAGTATACATAAGAAGCATTGTGGTACATAGTTCAGAGGAATGCAGGACTAGGTGGCAACCAGGGAACTATTGCGTTTTAATTTTGGCTCTGAGATTTTAACCAAATCATTCAATCTTTCTAGGTTTTAATATCTTCATTTTTAAAAAAAAATGGGAGATAATCATGGAATATCTGAAATACAACCAAACCAAACCCGTCGCCGTCGAGTCAATTCCAACTCATAGTGACCCTACAGGACAAAGTAGAACTGCCCCATAGGGTTTCCAAGGAGTGCCTGGCGGACTGCCGACATTTTGGTTAGCAGCGGTAGTTCTTAACCACTGCGCCACCAGGGCATATAAGAGGAGAAAGAAAGAAAAAACATTTATTGAGGTTCCAATATATGGCGGGTACTACAGTTACAGATGAGGCTTCTAAGAGCTCCTTTCAGTCCCTGATTCTACCAAACTAAAATTTTAAGTTACCGGTAAATCATTAATAAAATACTTTTAATTAAATCTAACTAATCCATACCTCACTCTAAATGAAACTTTCTTAATTTTAGTATTTTTTTTAAGGCATTCTATTATTAAATCTCAAAGTAGACTAAATCAATAGTGGGGAATAAAAATGCTTCCTATAGACATTTCCTTCCAAACGTGTCTCCTGTTGGCAGACTAATAATACTTCATTAGTAAATACTTCATTTAGTAAAAATAATCTGTATAAAGTTTTCCATTTTTTCAAAATACTTTTCAAAGGGACTCTAAAATTAGCTGTAATAAGAAGTTAAACAAGTACACTAGTTAAAATTTAACCATGAAAAAGTCTCATTGTTATGTTTTTCTACTGCTTAAAGACTATAACTTATAGAGATTAAATAATTTCATAAAATATTTTAAAACATTCTATAGATGAAATTTCCTCAAAGAGAAATTTAATCCAAAATGTTACCCTTAAAAAGAAAAAAAGTACTAAGTACATCAAAATGTGCTAAAAGGACATTCAGTTTTTCCCGAAAAAAAAAAAAAAAATTCAGTAAAATCAAGAAATAAATTTTTTTAGATTAAAAGCTTAAACTGGTAAAATTAGAAAATATCTAAGAACCACATAAATGTTTTATTTTTTAATAATTGCATATGTTTATTTTATATTTACTTTTGAAAAGTAATCTTATTAAAATATAAATGTCATAAGAGTTTAATAAGTGTTTTAGTAATGTATTTTTCTATTAAACACACACATATACACAAAAAAATATTTAGGAAGAATCTATATCTTCTTATGACAAAAAAAACATGATAGGTTACAGCCTTACATTTAACTTATATAGAAACAACTTTGAAGCAGTGAGACATATATTTTTAATCATTTTGGTATATAGTTGGGCCAGATTTTATTTTCAGTAGGTTTTTATAATTTCTTATTAGGAAGATTACCAGCTACAAAAACAAGAATTTAAAATTACTTTATTAGTATTTGACACTTAAGAGTCTAGTTAGAATACACATGGCACAGATATGTCTTTATATGTATCTAAGCTATATACAGATGTTTTGTTTCTTAGCCTAGGTAGATAAACTAAAATATTTTAGAACATGATCTGAACTTAAGAAAACAATAGAAAATAACAATCACCAATTCAATCTGTATGAATCAGATATTTGGGGAGTTCCTTTTATTTTTGACATATATGCCATATGTTTCAAGTACAAGCAAGGCCTCTGAAATACATTTTTTTACTCCCCAGAAGTTAGCTAAACAGAAATTAATATTTTTCATTTAATCATTATTTAATGTAATCTACCTAGGGAGCTTTGTTATTCGGATCAAAGACTTTTGCAATGAAACCAAAGATTAGAAGTTTTTCATTTCTTATGTTTAAGTGGTATTTTCCCTTTACATACCTTATATAATAAATACATCAGGAAAACCTAGTACTCTTGAGATGTGTACACAAAATAATTATTTAGATGATAAAGAGTTAATAAAATTCTCCAGGTCTGCTAAAGAATTATGAAGCATATCATTCATATCTTGACTCCTAAGGAATTTTTTAAGGGTATCTAAAGCAGTTAATGCCTCATTTTTTGAAGGCAGTGGGAGTTCAGTTTCTGGACATCCACTGTCATCCTCTTCGTCAGAAGTATAAAATCCGGTTTCATCTGATTTACTTTGTTTTATGCATACTGAATCATCACTTGATGCAGCTTCACATGTCTCCAAATCATCATCCAGGGCAGCATAGTCTTCTACAGATAAACCTTCAGGAAATTCCACCCCTGCTGCCAGAGCATGGGCAAGCAAATCAATAGTGCTGTCTGTCTCTGCACTTGATGTGTCACCTTCTCCCTTATGGGATTTGAATCCTGCCTCTTCATAGCTCTTAATAATAGTCTCTGGGGTTACAGTCCTCCAACAGAGATGCAATGTATCAACTGCATCTAATAGGGAAAACATAAATTCTTTGCTGTCTTCAACAGAGCTTAAAAATTTCTTGATAAGACAATGTCGATATTTGATCTTAAGGCTTTTAATAACACCTTGTTTCATAGCTATAAATCTGGAAGATAAACATGATGGAAAGAATGCTAACTCAATGGATTTTAGGTTCTTTACCTCTGGATGTGCAGGAAAAGAATCAACAAAAATCACCACTTTTCTTTGTTGAGCTTGAAATTTTTCATCAAGTTTCCGCATCCATTGTTCAAACACTTCTGAGGTCATCCATGCCTTTCTGTTAGCTTCGTAATACACAGGCAATGATTTTATGCTTTTGAAACAATGTGGATTTCTGTTTTTCCCAATGATAAGCAAAGGAAGTTTCTCTGAGCCATCCATGTTTGCCCCAACCCCCAGAGTTATTCTGTCTTTGCATAATTTTCCAACTGAGCATGTTTCTCCTTTAAATGCAAACGTATTCGTAGGTAACATTCGATAAAACAACCCAGTCTCTCTTATATTAAAAATATTTTCAGGATGATAATCATTTAAATAATAAGGAAGTACATTTTGACACCAGACAGTTGAAGGGTCTACAGGTGTAGCTGTAGCTTCTACAGGTTGAGCTCTGAATACTAAACCATACCTGGATTTAAAGCGATCCAGCCAACCATTGCTGCACTTAAAATCATTATGTCCCAGTTTCTGGGCAAAATCATTAGCTTTTAGACGCAACATTGGACCATTAACTGGTACATTTAGACATTGTGCAATTCGATACCACCTCATTAATGCTTCTTCCAGATCAGTGTAAAAGGCAGTTCTCAGTCTTTTTCTCTTTGGATCAAATCTCAGAGATTCAAAAGCTTCTAGAACTTTGTCTTTATTTTTCATAATAGAAGACAATGAATTTTTCTTTATTCCATACTCAGCTGCAATCTCTGCTTTTTTCTTGCCACTTTCCACTGCATTTATGATGTCGACCTTTTCCTCAATGGACAGACTTTTCTTTTTCTTTGTTATTACGGGCACAGTTGAGGCATCTGCGGGAGCTTCTGCCATCTCAATCGGTGCTTAGGTAGAGATTTCTCCTCTTACTTCTTGATGTCTGGCTCTTTAATTAAATTTGTTTTCCAGTATGAGTCAGATTGCTGCTTTCTATCCCACTTCATATATTAAAAGTTGTTAAGTGTCTAAAAGTTTTATTCTTTAGGAAATTGATGACTAAATACACTTTTTCAAAAGATTTGAATAAGAAAAATATTACATGCAGCTAGAACATTTTGGAAGAGAAACTTCCTTCCCAGACCTTGTGTAGCTCAGTTTAGTCTATTCAAAGTTCCACAAGTCAGGCTAAAATAGAAATCTCATTATGTCAAGCCTGTCCAGTCCTGCTGATATATTTTTGGAACTTCAATCCTTTAAGATGATCCATTTTATCCATGTACACAGTCAACCTCCTATTAACTCTCCACAGAAGGGCTCAGAGATAAGAAAAAAGTTTTCAGTAATTTTCATGCAAAATGTTACCCATTAATTTCCAAGTCTCTTCAAGGAGGGGAAGAAAATGGTAGAATTCTCCTAGGATTTCAGGATGTATCTTCTCTGCCTCTTGAAAATGTTAAAAAAAAAAAAATTTTAAAAAGTGGCAATTTTAGAGAAGTTATGTCAAATGAATTATCAAAAATAACATTTATACCAATTAGTTCTGCTCTTAATAATAGTAAAATGAATGGAAACATGTTTCTAAAAATACAGTACCGAAGCTTCTAGAAGAAATGCTTACCTTCCTGAACAGCCTCTCTGTAAAAACCTCTCTAGCTCTGCTCTGTGCATTTAAATTCTCACTTGCTTTTGAATGCTTTGTAATATATACTTCTGAGATAAATCAGACAAAGTTAATCTGCTTTGAAAATGTGGGCTTACCAAAATTAAAGAACTAAAAATGATGCTGGATAGATCCTTGGTGGCTATTTTTTACATGAAGTCACAGACTGCCCCCCCCCCCTCCCCGGCTTCTCTAAAAGAAAAACATAGTCAGTAGTCACAAGGTCCAACTTTTAATAGCACATGGGAGACAGTGCCTCCTTATAGAAGTCTGGTAGAAAACACTTCACTAAAAAAATCAAATCAAGTGATTGATAATTCCATTAGAAAACTCTAGATCTCATTTTACCAAAATGCTTGAAAAACTCAGTAACTTTTGTTATCATTTGACACATTAGCCACATGCACAAAGGCCAGAAACGATTGATACAATGTACAAAACAGACAAATTATAATGAGAATATAATACAGAAAAAGACCTAGACTTTAAGAGTGAGAAGGAGAATAACCATGGTTCCTAACCTCTCAGGACCTCTACTTTCTCATCTGTAAAATAAAGTCTCTACCACAAAGTAAAATAAAGGCTTTGGCACTAGACAGACCTGAATTGAGAAGTGATTCTACCATTTAGTACTTATGTGACTCTGGGCAGTTCACTTAACCATTTGAAGCCTCAGTTTCCTTATCTATAAAATGGGGTATCACCTGCCTCATAGAGTTGTTTCACATTCAGTGAGATTCAATGACATGAGTATAAAGCATCTGGTACAGTATTCGTTACTGTTATGTGCCAGCAAGTTGCCCTGACTCAGGGAGGACCCCATACATTACTGAATAAAATGCTGCCTGGTCCTGCACCATCCTCATCATCAGTTGCGGATTGGACCATTGTAAACCACAGGGTTTTCATTGGCTGATTTTCAGAAGCAGATCACCAGGCTTTCTTCCTAGTCCATCTTAGTCTGGAAGCGCCACTGAAACCTGTTCAGCATCATAGCAACACGCAAGCCTCCACTGATAGGCAGGTGGTGGCTACACATGAGAATTCTACTACTGAACTACCACAGCCTCAGCATAGGATTCAACACTTCACTAAAGCGCTCACAGTTGTATGGTGATGATCTCATTGTTATTATCTTTTCTCTACTTCAGCTGTGTGACTTTACAATTCAGAGGTTTTATTAATAAATCCCATTTGCAATAGAGGCAAGAATTCCATTTTAAATATACACTGAAAAGAGGGCTCTTCTTAAGCAAAATAGTCCTATGGAACAGTCACAGGGCCCCAGATGGGCAAGATAACAGGCTAACTTGATGAGCTGCTGTTACTAGCAAAGTAGCATAGGCACTCCATTCCTCTAGTTCTTCTCTCTTTCCCCCCACATTTCCAGATGACACAGATTTGTAAGGGGTGGGGGGTTTGGACAAAATTCCTCTGCCTTTTTTGCTGAACTCAAAGGAGTAATTTTTATCATAGGAATTAATACCAGTAAGAGATTTTTTGTTGCTCTTGTTGCAGAAAAGACCTTAATAATAATAATGATAGCCCACGGCTTTAGTGTGCAAATTCCTTTACTACTAGTATTCCAAACAAACCCAGAGGTAGGTAAAACTGGATTTCAGTGGTCACACAGTTATGATGTGGCAGAGTGCAGTCTAGAATTCAGGCTTTCTAATGTCAAGTCTACGATTCTTTTCACTATATTACCATGTCCTTGAGTCACACTGGCAGGGCCTCCTCTGACCACAGTTACACATTTTATGTCCCAGCAATAAGCTGAGTCCGCACTTTCAATGCCATTCCAAACCTTACCAACAACAACCAAAAAGATATGAAAAAGAAAAAGAAAGCAAAATCAGGTTTTTACTGAAGAATAGACCATTATGGATTCTGTGAACACAAACAGCAGCCACACACACTGTTAGGGAGAGTTGACCTTTCTAAGTAAGATTTAGCAATTCAATGACAAAAAAAAAAAAATCTTGCTCATACAAGGGAACTCCTTGTACATTTTTTTCTTGCAATTTCCTATAAATCTGGACTTTTTTCAAAATAAAAAAATCTACAATCTTGTTCTTACTAGGAAGAGACCAACCTTCAGAAATTAAAAGGTAACAAGAATCACTTTTTCAAAAAAAGACAAACCAACCAAAAGTATTCTCCAAAGGGAAAAGGGAATCTACTCAACTTCTTCTTTCCTTTTTCCCTCCTTTCTTCTATCGAATTTTGTCAGAAATAAATTCTATCATCTCAAATGACAAGAATTACAGAAAAAGTAACTTGAATTTCCTCCCTTGCCTCATCCCAATTAAAGCAATATAATATTCATAATCAAAGATTACTGATTATTTTGATCAAATTAAAAATAGTTATATCTTTACTTAGGGAGTGTCATGGATTGAATTGTGTCCCCCCAAAATATCTGTCAACTTGGCTAGGTCATGATTCCCAGTATTGTATGATTGTCTACTGTTTTGTCATCTGATGTGATTTCCCTATGTATTGTAAATCCTATCACTATGATGTAATAAGATGGATTAGTGTAGTTATATTGATGAAATCTACAAGATTAGATAGTGTCTTAAGCCAATCTCTTTTGAGATATAGGAGAGAGAAGCAAACAGAGAGACAGAGAGAAGCACTGGGAGCAGAGCGCATTCTTTGGACCTGAGGTTCCTTGCACTGAGACGCTCCTAGACCAAGGGAGGATTGATGGCGGGGGGCTTCCTCCTGAGCCAATGGAGGGAAGAAGCCTTCCTCTGGAGCTGATGCCCTGAATTTGGACTTGTAGCCTACTAGACTGTGAGAGAATAAATTTCTCTGTTAAAGCCATCCACCTGTGGTATTTGTTACAGCAGCACTAGATGACCAAGACAGGGAGATAAAGTTTTTTCCCCCTGAACGATAACAATATATATTCCTTTCTAAAACACTAAGTAAAGCTACAATTTTCTGTGAAAAGATCCAATATATCTTTATTCCTGAAATTATCACATTTCTAATGCAACACCAGACAAGTTAGAATTTTTCTTTAGAAAAAAATAAGGCACCAATACTGCGTAATCAAGGAAGCTAATATTCTCCATACTCCACAGGGTAATGTCGGGGATTCCCCCCGGCCCCGCCACCTCGGGAGTAATGGCAGCAGCTAGTAATTTTCAGAAGTATTTATTCTCTCAATTAAGCTTATTAATCATTCTATCCCTTGAAAATATTACAGAAGAGAAAGGCTGTACTACATGTCAGGGCATATCTTCTCTTAGGTTAACAGTAAAACCAGCCAAAGAAGAAGAATAGACAATTCACCAAAAGACTTACCATTTGAACCCCCAAAAAGAAAACAATGGTCAACCCCACTAGTAATAAGAGAAATGTAAATCTTCTTTCAAAAAGGAAGATTTTTTTTTTTTCAGAATGACCAAAAAAGGTGGTGGTGGGGGGATAGAATACAGAATCTAGTGTTTGTCAGAGGGCAGTAACATAGATTGTTAGGTGGCACACAAATTGGTACAAAGCTTCTAGATGGGGCAAATTAGCAATATGTTACAAAAACCTTAAAAATATGTATAACTTTTTATCCAGCAAGACCATATCTAAGATTTTATCCTGAAAGTATAATTGTTGATGTAAAAATAGTTTAGCTTACAAGTGTATTAATTCTGTATTGCTGCATTAACAAATTACTACACACTTGTTGCTAAGTGCTGTTGAGTTAGCTCTGACTCATAATGACCCTTTGTACGAAAGAATGAAACACTACTGGGTCCTGTGCCATCCTTACAATCGTTGCTATGTTTGAGTCCATTGTTGCAGCCACTGTTGTCAATCCATCCTGTCGAGGGTCTTCCTCTTTTTTGCTGACCCTCTACCTTACCAAGCATAGTGTCCTTCTCCAGGGACTGGTCCCTCCTGATAACATGGCCAAAGTGCATGAGACGTGGTCTCATCATCCTTGCTTCTAAGGAGCAGTCTGGCTGTACTTCAGCTTAAAACAACGCTCATTTATTATCTCACAGTGCTGTAGGTTAGAAGTCCAGAAAGGCCCTACTGGTTCCTCTGCTTAGGGTCTCACAAGGCCAAAATCAAGACTGGGCTGGGCTCTTATCTGGAGGCTCTGGGGAAGAATCTGCTTCCAAGCTCATTCAGGTTGTCTGCAGAATTCAGTTCCTTGCTGTTGCAGGACCAAGGTCCAGGTTTACTTGCTGGATGTCACCTGGGGACCACTCCCAGCTCCTAGAGGCCACCCTCTGGTCCTTGCCGTGTGAATCCCTTCCCTTCAGCAATGGAGAACCTTCTCTTTCATGCTTCGAATCTCTCTGACTTCCTCTGCTGCCACCAGTGGGAGAGAACTGTCTCCTCTTAAACGACTCATGTGATTAGGCTGGGCTCACCAGATAATCTCCCTTTTGTTTAACTCAAAGTCAACTAATCAGTGACCTTAATTATATCTGCAAAATCCATTTGGCATGTAAGATACCCATGGAAGTGATATTCCACATATTTGCAGGAGAGGGACTTATAACAAGGTGATGGTCACTGGAGGTAATTTTAGAACTCAGCCTACCACACAAGACCTTGCATTGTTGTTTATCATAGACAAAACCTGAAGTAACCTAAATCCTAAATGTGTAACAAAAAAAGAACTGGCTAAATAAATTAAGGGATCTCTATATTCTAAAATACTACTGAGCCGTTGAAGGAGAATATTTAACAATATGAGGAAAATTCCATGATATATTAAATGAAAAAAGCAAAAAGCAAAATGATGCCAACAAATACAACATATATTGTCAGCTCCAAGAGGGCAGAGGTCATGTCTGTACTGTTCCCGGCTATTCCCACAATGCTTCCAGGAAACCCTGTTGGTGCAGTAGTTAAGAGCTGTGGCTGCTAACCAAGAGGTCAGCAGTTTGAATCCACTAAGTGCTCCTTGGAAACCCTATGGGGCAGTTCTGCTCTGTCCTATAAGGTTGCTATGAGTTGGAATGGACTTGACGGCAACCCTACAGGACAGAGTAGAACTGCCCCATAGAGTTTCCAAGGAGTGGCTGGTGGATTCGAATTGCTGACCTTTTGGCTAGTAGCCAAGCTCTTAACCACTGCACCACCAGGGATCCTCACAGTACTTACTGCCCAGAAAGCAGTAAGTTCTCAATAACAACTTGTTAAATCAGTAAATGAAATATATATCTATGCATTGAAAAAAATACATTGACCAAATGTTGAGTGTTCCCTCTAGGTAATGGAATTATGGATAAGTTTAATTTTCTCCTCTGTCTCTGTAGTTAAAACAACTTCTACAATTCTCATGTTCTACTTTTGTACCAGGTTTTAAAAATTATTCAGAATATCATATCAAAGACTATAAAAATATCACTTCTCATTCAGAATATCTAGGGGGGGTGATAAGTTATCCTCCTTTTATCAGTAGTTAACAGCCCCCTGCAGAGAATCAACCACTCTCCCAACTTAAGAAAGCATTCACTCATTATCTTCCACAAACAGAAATAACTGTGTCTACTTAATCCTGCCCTGTACTATTGCCGTAAGTCTCAGCAGTTGCTGGTATTCTGGAATTTGCCTAGTGTGCAGTAGACAATATATTTCTATAACTTAAGCACAGTTAGCCAGTTTCCTGGTGCTATGAATAAGTCCAAAGTTCAGCACCTCCCCCCACCCTCCGAATCTTATTTGTCATGGGAAACAGACATGCATACACTGTCCTATAAGGCAGACTAAAATGTAGGCTCAAATCAAGTGCTGTGGGATCAAAGAAGAGGCAAAAATTAATTCTCACAGGGAGGATAAACAATGAGTTCATGAAGGAAGTAGCATCTTAGCTCAACCCTAAAGGGTGGGTAGCTATTTATAGATAAGGAGAAATAGGCAACATTTTAGCTGATAGGAATAGACAGCAAAAACATGGAGGCGGGAAATTACAGGTCAGTCCGAAGCATATTAAGCAGTTCTGTGTAATTTAAGCTTCATACACACACATATACATATATATAGAGAGAGGAAGAGCGCTTATTTAGACCACTACACACCAGAAAGGAGACTGTGGCAAGACCTTGGTGAACTCTGAATGCCAGGATAAGGAACTGGATTTCATTCAGTAGGCCACAAATGCCATTCAAGGTTTTTGAGTGGAAGAGTAACAATGTTACATGAGAAACTTTCCCCAGTTACCATAATCAATGCATAAGATAATTCTACTGCATTTAGAAATAAGTGATAAATCAGAGTTTAATGACAAAGCTCATCACGTATGCAAATATTAAAACAAACAAACCAAACTTGTTGCCATCGAGTCGATTCCGACTTACAGCGACCTTACAGGACAGGATAGAATTGCCCCATAAGGTTTCCAAGGAGTGGCTGGTGGATTTGAACTGCTGACCTTTGGTTAGCAGCAATAGCTCTTAACCACTGCACCACCAGGGCTTCAAGGTTTTTTTATGCGAGTACAGTCTTTACATAACTGAATGAAGCTGTCCATGCAACTACTATATATATATATATATATTTAAATGTAAGAAGTCCTTACACATTCATTTTGTACCCTAACTTTTCATGGACCTCTTCAAATGTTGCATTAATCGGTGTCCTCTAATAAAAGATTTGTTTGCAGAGGATTACACTGTGCAATTAGTAACCTAAATATCTCTCCATGAAAAGGGAACTGCTGATAAAGAGTGATGAAATTTTTGAGGCATCACCAGAATCCCCTCCGAAAAGATATGAAAGTAGTAGTACCTTTTCCTTTTACTTCAGAAAACATTATTTATAAGCAGACATAATGTTCAATACCTAAAGCCACATGGACATTTAATCCATTCAAAAAGGAGTAAAAACAATATCCTTTAACCTGTTGCTTCCTTTCCTTCTTGATCAATAACAAAACAGCTACCAGCTGAGTGAATAAACAGTACCTGATTGTTTGAAAGCTGAATAAATAGCCCATATCTACACAAAGGGAAATGAATAGATAATCCCCAGTGCCACAACGGTATATGGCAGGTGGCTATGCCCTTTCTTCTCACTTCCCTAGACATAAATGCCAACCACGAGGGAAGGAGTATTCTTTCATTCTTCCTAAACAGAATGAGCAGGCAGAATTCCCCAAGCTCTAGGGCAAAGGAGCAGGGGTAGAGAAGGTTTAAGAAAGAAAATGGAAAAGAAAACAAAGTGTCCTCCTAAGTAGGGCTAGGTTTAAAATCAGGTCTTTCAGTTAATGTGAAAAATTTTCCCCAAATCCAAAGAACTTCGTGGCTGCTTCCCTTCATTATTTTCCACCATCACCATCTGAAGTAGTTGTCAGGATTTTCTTATAACTAGCCTGCATTCTAATTTCCCTTGGGAAGGTAGAAATCATGAGAAGATTAATCCCGTGTATAGCCTTGCACAGTCTAATAATATGTATGAAGACTAATCATGCACTGTACCACAGTAGCATTTGGACTGAAAGAGGACCTAACAGGATTAGCAGCATTTTCACCAAGCAGAAGTTAGCATAAGTTCCAGGTGGTTCCAAGTCCATCAGAATCCTCTATCAAAATTATAAGCAGTTACAGCTGCCAAGGAAACCATTCAGCTAGGGATGAATAACTAAAGCAACTGTCTACCTTTCTAATACTGTAAGAAACACTTATGGGTCTAACAGGCTTAATAGAGAAACTTAAGTGAAGCGAAGCTTCCTGAAACCCAGGACAGCTAACAGGAATCCTTAAGGCACCAGCCAGCTCAAATAATTAAGTACTCATTGTTCACATCATTCAAGTACCACTGAACACTGTGTCACCTCTTTCTAGTCACCTCTTACAACTCACCCTTCCAAAACCCTAAGAATAACACTTATACTCTGCTACTAAGTTCTGTTCTGTTCCTATATAATAAGAGCAGTAATTATTCTAGATTGGGATTTTACCTAAAATTAAGAAGACTTATCCAACACCAGTACAACAGCTTTGAACAGAAAAATCAACAGTAAACTGTAAAGCTGAAGTTACAGTTTGAGTGAGTTAGCATATATATTTGGTGTTTTAAGGACAGAGCCATTTAAGATAAGGGCCCTTTACACACAGATTTATGTTTTGGGGTTTCAGTACTCCTTTTTTAAGACGAGGTATCCTGTAGATCTCGGCAGATCTTAGAATTTACTTTTGAAACGTTTTATGATGTCATAGATATTTGCTCTTCACGGGTATGGGGAAAGATATCTGTATAGGGATATACTTTTAACTAACTGTATTGAAGTTGAATTCCCTGGAAATGTGGAGAGGCAGAGTTCTGTCTTTGGGTATTTAGTCATTAAAAATGTCTTGTGAGCTAATGTGTCAAGTAAAGAAAGGCAGGTGAGAACTGCTGTCTAAAGAGGGTAAATCCCACGACGTGCACTAAGTTACCCTTCGCATTTCTACAAGTGAAATAGGAGTAAAAATGAACATCCAAGACTGCCAAAGAGCAGTCACAAAAGGCAATTTGAAGGCAGATGTAAGTGGATGGACCAAAAGGATGTTCTGTATGTAAATGAGCTTCAGGTATGTCTAGCACCACTGCTGAGCCATACTTTCCTTCCATTCGGTACTGGGAATGGGAAGAGTAACCGAAATACAAGTTGGGACCTCGACTTAGGAAACTACAGAAGGTTCTGAGAGAAGGGATTGGTCAGTGGCTTTTGTAGACAGGACAGTGATTTACGTTTAAGAAGTAATGGGACCCGCAAGGAAAGCAGAACTCGGTGATTAGTAAAAATGAAGGATACTTAAGGAGCAGGAATGAAAAGTATCAAAGAACCACTGTCAGTGAGAGAGCAAAAGAGCAGAAAAACGCAGAGCAAGTAAAAAGAGCTCCGGGATGCCACGCTGGCGGGTCTGGTCTTCTTGATGGGGGTGCGCGTGTGTGACGTAGGCGGAGGGGGGCTCTCCAGGCGCTGGAGAAGCTAGGGTAGGGCGCCCGAATCCCGTCTGCTCCCCTATCCCACATTCCCTACTCCCCTCCCCCCAGCGGGGCTGGAATAACCTTCTTCGTGCTCTCCGTTAGCTGAGAAAAGCAGCTTTGGCTCCCCTGAGGTCTGCGTGGGCGTGAGCTACGTCCACCTTCACCCTCCCGCACCGGCTCACCGTCTTTTGGGGGGACGCCTAATACGTGAGGCCAGGGGTGTGTAAGTGAGAGAGAAGGCGTCCTGAGGACTCCTAGAGACCTCCGACCATTCAAGACGAGGCCGGCGCACCCTTCTGCTAGCTTCTAGCTCTGGCAGGTGCATCCATCAAGACCCGCACTCAAAGCCATCTACAATTCGGGAGCAGCCAGAAAATTACCCGGGCAACGGCACCCGCAGAGCCCCGGATGTGGTTGCTAGGGCCGCAGCGGGGGGGCGGGGCCAGCCTCCCGGATAGAGGCGAAAGGGGGCCTCGTGGGAGGTGCCGCTAGCACCATCGAGACGTGGCCGGGTCTGGCCAGCTTCAGGGAGAGAGAGGCCGTCCACGGCCGAGGACAACGCTACTTCCGGTCTCCTCACTTCCGGCTCCGCTGCTCTGAGTGCTGGTTCTAGAGACAGGGTTGAGAGTTCGCCGGTCCGAGTGTCCTCGGCGGTTGGTCAGTGTGAGACTGTGACAGCTGCAGTTTGCTCCCCGCCCCCGAGGATCCGAGGTGCGTTGGGGGAGGGGAAGAAGGAATAGGCCCGGATCGCGTTTCTGCTTACTTCTTGGCAAGGTTGAAGCGATTCCAGAGAGCAACGGCAGGGATAATCCTCGGAGGTGAGAGTTGCCGGGATCCAGGCAGACAGGTGAGGGCGGAGCAGGCGGGAAGCCAGCCAGGAAAGAGTGAGGACGAGGATGGTCGTAGGTGGTTGGCGGAGGCAGACACGTTGCCTCAGGGGCTCGCCGTTTCAGACTTTCACAGGGCACTTCTGTCCTTAGTCTGTGCCGTATCTGACCAAATATTCCTTTAGTTTCTGCCCCGGAAACAGCCCGGTGAAGGAAGGACCGGCCCTTCCAGGGCGACACTCTCTCGGGTATGCGTGCATAGGATAGAAAAAGGGGTTGCAGGATTCAGGTCTTTATTGACTAAGTCTTGGAGTGGGCCACCTTCGGGTTTGGTGCCCATCCTTTTTGTCTTTCCCTCTCTCCCTGCATCCCCCACTTCCTATCTCCCGCAGCGATAGTCCCTCCGAGAGGTTCATCTGGCAGTGGTGAAGGGAGGAGCGTTGCCTGTGAAATGTCCAAAGTCTGACTGTACTTGTGAAGACGTCCAAGGATTGCTGGAGTTTGGGAGGGAGTTGTGCTGTGTGTCTCGTCCGTTCCGCTTCGCGAAGTTACTACCGTTTACGTGTCTAGGAAAAGGAAAGAGGGTTTTTTTTGTTTGTTTGTTTTGTTTTTAAAAAACAGCTTCTAGATGCGCTTTCCTTTTATTTTGTTTTTATTACTTCCTTCGTTTTTTCTTATCTCCCGCTTGAGCCCTTTGATCCCAAAAAGTTCGTAGTTTACAGTTCCTGCAAATCCTATAGGATCCTCTTTTAGGATTTCTAAATCCCCCCTCGTTTTCTACGAGATGAAAGTATATAAAATCTGCAACTCGGTTCTTTTTTACAAGGAAAAATGGAAAATTTGCAGAACTTCTCATAAACCTGTGCTTTCACCTGCAAGGGTATGTTCACGTTGCGATTTAATTAGCTTCATTGACATAGAAATGTGGGCCAGAGTTGGTTAAGTTAAATCAGCCCTGTGTTAAAACCCTCTGCGGTCAAGTCGATTCCGACTCACAGCGACAGAGTAGAACTGGCCTGTAGGGTTTTCTAAGCTGTAATCTTTACAGAAGCGGACTGCCACATCTTTCTCCCGGAGCTGCCGGTTCGAACCGCCGACCTTTCGGTTAGCACCCAAGGGCATTAACTACTGTGCCACCGGGGCTCCTTTCATTGCTGCTGTCTCAGAGTGCCTACTGCAGACCATAGTACTGTTCTAATTCTACTTTTCTTCAATTTGTCCTGTGTTGTTTCCCTTGCTCAGCGTGACCAACACCTTCTCCCCAAGCCCACCTATCAAGTCTGACTCTCATTATCTGAGGAAATAGAATATATTTCTAATCTTACTTTATTTTCTGGATTAAAATCTCTGCGTCAGTTACTTTGCATCCTTTTCAAGTTGCTAATTTAGTTTTCCTTGGATTAATGGTTTGCCTTAAACCTCTGTCTTGATTTGGCGTCCGTGGTCTAGGGGTCAGTGTTTTTCGGTTCTTTCTCATTCCCACCTCTGAAATTATATGCAAAGTTTTGTTTGAGTACATCCCTCCCTCACCCCCATAAGGTTCATTCTTTTAATAAAATTCTCAAAGGGGTTATAGGTTAATGGTTAATAGTTAATGGTTAAAAACCATTTACTCCTTAGACAGTGAAGTTAGTTGAGGCTTGTGAAAAGATTTTTTTGTGAAGCTGTTGTTTTTCCAAACTGTAAATGACTTGTTTTGGGACCTAGGAGAGTAGAATGCAGGGATTCTAGCTATATAGTGCAATCTGTAACTACCTCTAAGTAGTGTCTAAGTTCCTTCCTAGACCTAGAGAAGGAAGTAAGACGGCCTCCTTATTTAATTCCTGATTTGTGGTTTTGAGGTTTCTTGTTAGGGTGGTTAAGAGCTTGGCTGCTAACCAAAAGGTCAGCAGTTCGAATCCATAAGCAGCTCCTTGGAAACCCTGTGGGGCAGTTCTGTTGTGTCCTATAGAGTGGTTAAGAGTCAGAATCAATGGATTTTTTTACAGATTTGTTTGTGGCCAGTGATCTGGAGATTCAGTAAGTTTATAAATTGAGGTGTTTGTGGTTATTTTATACATACTGCATATCATCAGCATACTAGGTGTGGTTCAGAGTAAAAAGTTTAAATTCTCTTTGTACTTTGCTTTCATTTTTGTACTTTGCACTTGAGGCATATGTCTTGGGCTTCAGCTTTGCTAGGAAGGACAAATAGGGTGTTTCAGTGGCTGGTCCCTAAGCCAATGGTATGTTGCAGCTTATCTTGACATCCCCTTTCCCTCCATTTTGTATTCAGTATTTTAATGATTGTTTCCATCTTGTGAATAACTTAATATCCTTCCAAATTAAAGTTTGGAGTGCATGTTTGAATTTACTGATTTGGTTATGAAGTGTTGATTGAGAGTCTGAAATTCTCAATGTTTGACTCTTGTTTTTCATAGAATGTTAGAACTTGGAGAGACCTATACACCTCATCATAATCTGTGTACAGTAACCAGTTCTTTCTGCCTACAAAAATGAAATAATTTTCCCTCTGTCTAGCATCCTCACTTGGGGAGCAACCAATATCACCTTATAAAAAATACCTTATACTGCCTTCCGGCCGTTTCTTCTGTCCCTGCTGCCACCCGAGGTAAAGAATGGCATTGAAACAGATTTCCAGCAACAAATGCTTTGGGGGCTTGCAGAAAGTGTTTGAACATAACAGTGTTGAACTAAAGTGCAAAATGAAATTTGCTATCTATTTACCCCCAAAGGCAGAAACTGCAAAATGCCCCACACTCCATTGGCTGTCTGGCTTAACTTGCACAGAACAAAATTTTATATCAAAATCTGGTTATCATCAAGCAGCCTCGAACATGGCCTTGTCGTCGTTGCTCCTGATACCAGCCCTCGTGGCTGCAACATTAAAGGAGAAGATGACAGCTGGGACTTTGGCACTGGAGCTGGGTTTTATGTGGATGCCACTGAAGAGCCTTGGAAAACCAACTACAGAATGTACTCTTATGTAACACAAGAGCTTCCTCAACTCATAAATGCCAGTTTTCCAGTGGACCCCCGAAGAATGTCTATTTTCGGTCATTCCATGGGAGGTCATGGAGCGCTGATTTGTGCTTTGAAGAATCCTGGAAAATACAAATCAGTTTTCAGCATTTGCTCCAGTTTGCAACCCAGTGCTCTGTAACTGGGGCAGAAAAGCCTTTAGTGGATATCTGGGATCGGATCAAAGTGAATGGAAGGCTTATGATGCTACCCATCTTGTGAAGTCCTATCCAGGTTCTCAGCTGGACATACTGATTGATCAAGGAAAAGATGGTGAATTCCTTTCAGATGGACAGTTACTTCCTGATAACCTCATAGCTGCCTGTACAGAAAAGAAAATCCCTGTTGTTTTTAGATTGCAGGAGGGTTATGATCATAGCTACTACTTCATTGCAACCTTTATTGCTGATCACATCAGACATCATGCAAAATACCTGAATGCGTGAAAAACTTCAGCTACTACAGTCTCTTCAGAATTATAAAAGTTTTAATAAACTGACTTGCAGAAAAAAAGATCTCAAAACACTGGACTTCATAATGCTGAGAGGGCTTCATGCTGTAACTGAATCACCGGAATAAATACAGGCAGTCCTCGGGTTACCAGGTTAGAACATCTGACTTACAGACAGCTCGTACAACCATAAAGCCTATTATGTTAAAATTTGAGTTTAATGCAATGGTTCGTAATAACAAACGCACACATTACTTTGTGATGCTGGTGAAAACATTGCTCAGCTTAGAAGTAGTTAAGTGTTTTATATGTATAGAAAGGCAAAATATATACGGTATACTAAGACAAACATTTGACTAACTGATGCTAAATAAGAATCGTATGTACGTGTTCAGACTTACCTACAAATTTGACTTAAAGACAAGCTTAGATCTCGTTCATAACCCAGAGACTGCCTTACATAAAATCTTTTGATTTAAGATATTATTTATCAGGGTTCACGTGGGAAATCTTTAATACTTTACAGCTTTTTTTAGGACATTTGGAAATCCTTGTTACATTGACCTCAGGTCATAGAAAATGAGTGTAGTCCCATAGTAATGCTGGACCAGAGGACTTAACAGTAGTTTAGCCCAAGCCCCTTACCTGTTTAGACATTAAGCCTCTGAGGGCAGGGACTGTCTTGGCCTGGTTCATTGTTAGAGCTCTGGTGTCTAGCAAAGTGTATGGCCTCTAACAGGGATTTAGTAACTGTTTGTTAGCTATTTAATAAAGAATTGGGCTCAGAAAAGTTAAGAGAATTCTCCATTATCACACATCTAATTTGTGGAACAGCTAAGATTAGAAGCCAGATTTCTTCAGCCCAGGCTGTTGATCTTTCTTATCCATTGAGCCAAGTAGATCTGTAAACCTTAGTTTTGGGTGTGTTAAGCCTCTGAAAAGGAGCCCAGGTAGCACAGACAGTTAAGGGCTTGGCTGCTAACCAAAAGGGTGGCAGTTTGAACTGCTTTTGTAAAGATTAGACTCACTGCTGTCAAGTCAGTTC